TGAATCGAAAATAAATTATTGAATGAATTGACATTGGAATAATGCTTTTGAAATAATCAAGAAAGAAACCAGTTGATAGTTTCCATTTTATATGCAATTCAAATAATTTGATCCAAATTTTTGATATTGAGTTTCTATTGTGTGAATATTTTATTTTAATTAAAATTTTTTGGAGAGAATCTATCGAGTTAAATTAATTAGCAAAAATAATTATAAGAATGTAATGAATGATATAACCAGAAGAAAATATCCTAAAAACGATAAGAAATCAAAACTATAAGTATAAGATTAAACAATTAAGAAAATTATGGACTAGATCGAAACAATTATAAGATTAAGATATCCGAATAAATTACTCAATCAGACTAAATCAGTTCTAAATCAAAGAATTAATTATTTTACTAATCTTTTGGATTTTATTATTAAAAAATTAAAATGGAAACCGTACACTTTTTGAATACCCAAATTTTTTATTTTAATTTTTTTGCCCAAATTACAATCTTAATCTTAAATTAATTCTTATATAAAAAGAAATCTAAAATATAATCATAAAGTTACAGCTGATTTATTTCAATTTTTTAAATCTTTAAAATCTTTATTTTTCGCTCTGGCTTATATTTTTCAAATAGTGGATGTTTTAATATTATAGATCATTACAAAAAAATATCAAATTTCCATTAAATTTTCTTTATTACAAATGTTTTGTTATCTTCATCATTTTGTGTATCATACTTTTCGTTCAACTTTTTGAGGGTTGAGAAATTCATTAAAAAAAAACAAAGGATTCTTCTTCACTTAAGCCAAAATATAAATGATCCCCAAAGTTTTAGGAATTAATTCATTACTTGTAAATAAAATCAGCAAAAGTGATCCAAAAACCAAAAAAACATACCCTAACTTAAGTACAAAATATTTTTTTGAATGGCAGATGTTTGACTTTATAACATGTAGTGTATGTATTATAAATACCGTACAATAAACACGTTCATATTTTTAATCTTAATCATTTGTTCAAGATTTTTAGTTAAACACAGGAAGACAATATGAAAATGTATTTATAAGGAACGCATTATTTTAATATGAAAAAAGGCGACATACTTTTTGTTTTTTACAATATGTTTTTAATTTTACAATCGTCACCATCAACATCATTATTTTTATTGCATTCAGATAAACAATTCAATTTTTGTCCCCGTTTTGTTAACGCCCATATCCCATCCGTCACAAAGTTTTTTTTTGTATATTTTATTACGCTTAAAATAATTCAAGTAACGATTACTGAGTGTAAAATAGGATGAAAATTACTCTTTCGAACACATTGTTTCGTGAAATATACATGAATTTTTTTGGCTCAATGAAAAAAAAAACCTTAATAGCGAAAACAATGATGACATGGTGAAGATTCTCAAATATAAATTTGTGGGCCGTTTTCCAGGAAATATTTTTATTTTCTTTTTTTGTAGTCAGAATAATGTGTCTCCTATTATCTATTTTTGTTTTTTTTTTTGCATTAAACCATAGATTTTATTATAAAATTAAAAACCATATCTGGCCTCTAAGCGAAATTTTTGAGAAAGTTATGTCCACAGGGAGAATTTTATATTTGAAGAAAAACTTGCTTAAAACAAGTGAATAACTATAGCACTAGAGAAAATAAACTTTAAAATAAACAGCTTAATAGCTTTAAATAAACAGCTTAATTGTTTTTTCATTTTATCAGTGAGCACAATTTTTATAAAAATTGTCCAAAAAAATTTATGTGTGCGTTATATGTAGTTTTTTAATTAGTTAATAGAATAGATGACAATTACGATACGCTTTGCCGATTACACTTTGGGTTACATAATATAATTTTATGTATATATATATAGATGATATATATATATAAGATCATAGGTATTTTTCGATAATTCACTTTAAGTTCTAACTAAGTTAATAATAGTCTTACAATATTTTACTCTTTAAGTAGAGGAGTTCTTATGACGAATTGAAAAAAAAAGTATACTTTTGATTACCATTTTTTGGAATCTTTTTTCTTCCGCTGAATGACAAACAAGAATACGTGCCGCAAGATAAAGGAAACCTTGACTTTCTTCAAAAATCAGTGTAAAACAAAAAAAATATGCTATAATATATTATAAATAAATGAACTGACGATTTACTTAATGTATTCATAACGCGAATTTATTTTTTATTTTCATCACCAAAATTTAGGATTTTGTTTTCAACTCTTTTTTATTAAAGAATTGAACTTTGCAATGACTACAGAGGCCGACTATATTTTTAATGATATTTATATAAATAAAATATCCACATCATGTACTTACATAGTTATAGGGAATAATAATATTTATGGTTTTGTCGGATAACATATGTCAATCATCTTGCCATTTGCCGTTTTTTTTGCTCGATTTTTCTGTTTTACAATTCCAATTCAATTTAATCACATTGCGCTTTGAAACGGTTTTATTGTTTTTAGAGGGAAAAAAAGTATTCAGTTCCTTTTTTCTTGTTTTATTATGAAACCACTTCATCAGCTGCACTGTGCCAGGAATATATTATAATTGCAGCTATATACATACATATATGAAAGTATAAAAAAGTTTTAGATGTTAAATTAAATCAAAAATAAAGAATGAAAATATAACGCGCTTGAAGGGCAATAATGAAGTGTCGCGTTCAATAGAGAACAATCCGAAAGAAAAAAAAAAAAATAATTTTTTTGTCATTTAATTTTTAAAGAAGGTTTTTGTTTTCAATGAATGTGCTAATTTTGTATTTTTTTCATTATTTATTTATTTATTTATTTTGAATTAATTTTAATTTTTTTTTTGTATAGGAAGGAAATCATTTGTAATGTGAATAAATATATCTGAATTGTTGAATCGGTTCTTCATAAGTTAACGTAAATCGATTCTTTATCATCATGAATAATAGAAGAAAAAATGGAAACCATAGATCATTATGAAACCAATGATGGTAAGACAGAGTGTATTTTAATTAAAATAATAATGTTTTTAATTTTAATGTAATTTTAGGTTGACTGAACTCTATTGCTTAAATGCTGTGATATCTAAGAATGTGTGATTTAAAACTTATGTCACTTCAGAGGGGTTAAGCCAAATTACTTAGAGAATAGTTGCACATGCAATATCGAATTTTGTTTTTTACTGAAATTTGACTGATGTAAGTGAAGATGAAATTCACAAAGATTTTGTAGGTGGACTTTGTAAACCACAATTCAAATCTTAGATCCAATACCGAAGTTTGTTGATGAAATAAGACGTGAAGATAAAAATCATAAAAATTGTCCTGTAGATTGACCTGTGGAATGACAATTCAGATCTCCATCCTATAAATTATACAAAAGAAGAAAAGCACTTTGAACTGAGATTTAGGAATGTAAGTATGCAATTTATATGTAGGAAATACTTTATAAATGAATGTATTTGACAAAAAGTAAATTGATATAGGGGTTCAAGAATGAAATTTTACATATTTAAAGTATTGACGTATTTACAGATAACTTCCTTTTTATACATATGTAGCTCCCATATATGTACATTTTATATATGTACATATGTAAATAAAATTGAGCATTGGATATTTCAGTAATTTTCTTGTAATAATTTATCCATAACAAATTCTTAATTTGAAGAATTTACTTTTTTGTTATTGCTACTCAAATTTTTCTTGCCATTTTTTATTATTATTATTTGGTAGGAAATTCGTGCGCTTATTTAATTCATCCATAATTTCTAAGCAATATAAAAAATTCTTTTGTTTACATATTCTGCAATACTTTTCTTTTTTTTCGCTATTTTTTTTTTTTTACAAATAGGTATGGGAAATGTTAATGTTAATGGGAAATATGCAATATTCCTTTTGAAGTATAATATGGTGTTTAATGAAAAATTTTTTTAATGAGTGATAAATTTGAAAGAAGGAAGACTTTTTCTTGTTTTCTTTTTTACTTTATTTGGTATATTTAAATACAATGTGGAATTTAGTTATAAGTAGGCTAGACACAGATATCCGGTAAAATATTGAAACCGAACATAAAAATTATGACAAATTACCATGTAAATTTTATAAGTAATTCTAAATATTTATGGAATATTTTTGTTTGTATATGTACATATGTAAATACAATAATGCCTTACCAATAATTATGTGCTTGTAGCGGTTTAAAATGCAAATTAAAACGTGTATATTTTGAATAAATAGAGTTGATGTTTTAACATAGCAAATATATGGAATTCAATTAGACTAAAAAGAAATAAAGAAATTCGTTATTGGATAAGTTGGATATTTTATCTTCTGAAGTTGTCACGTTTTTACGCACTTATTATAAAGGTATACATTCAAAAATAGGTACTTATAATTAGAATTTTGCAAAAGTAAAGAGAATTCAAGTGTTTTTTTTTGTTTGTTTATATTTAGAAGCTATTTTAGGTATGTTTATACATATGCATATATGTAGTTAGATGCTTTACCTTTAAAATAAAGTATAATTTTTATAGAAAGGGTTCTGATATAAAGATATAATCATTGTGATTTCCCAATACAAAATTGAATTGTTGCCTTAAATGATATTTTAAGGTGATTAAATTTTAATTATTATGTGATGATGATTGAAAATAAATCTCAAAATTTAATTGGATTTGGGTGAATACATATGTATTATACTTTTCTAAATTAAAGCGATATAAATTTGAATGTTCAAATAATTGATGCGTCAAAAAAGGTTTTGAAATTTTTGTAGAAATTTCCTTTAATTAAATAGTTGGAGTTTCAATTCAGTTTTGTGGGGTTCGGAGCTAATTGAATTTTCTCTTAAATAAATAAATTTTATTTTTAGTTAAATTGCACTGAAAATTTCAATTGTATAATTTATACTAATATTTTATTCCTGTTCTTTGGATTCGTGATATAATCTTTCTACTTCATTAAGTACAAAATAAAGGAAATTTATTTAAAATTAATTATTTGGATTCGATATGCTACCAACATGTGCTATTTGTAGCGGTAAGGTTCAACGTAGTTCTCTTGCTATTGAGTGTGGTGACTGCAACGGTGTATTGCATGCTCATTGTGCTAATTTGTCTCAAAATGAGATTGATTATATGAATAAAAACAACACAACATATACTTGCTCCATTTGTAGTCGTCGTCGCCGGCAATCTGTTAACGATGAGAGTGTTATTCATACAATCAACTCTCCTACGATAAGTATAACCAATACACAAGCAAATACACAAGATAGTATTAAAAATTCTATCGCTACAAGTATTAATTCGCTTACTTTACCACAAAATATGTCTACTACTAAGTCAATCATAAACCAGCAAAAAACAAATAGTTCTTCAGGTAGTAAAACAAATAATATTACTCTTCAATCTTTGTATGCTCTGAATTTAGAAATGAAACAAATGCTAGCAGAAAATAAAACTCAAATTAATAAACTTATAGAAGAAAAAGAAGCACTCAATAAAAAAATTTCGTCTCTTGAGTTAAAAATAAATAAGTTAGAGCAAAATAAAATGAAAAAATGTGTTGATGTTGTTGGATTGCCAAATGTTAACTCAAATAATGTGAAAGAGAAAGTATTATCTCTCTTTTCTCAGATGTGCAATGAAAATTTGAGTGAAAGTGACATTACCAATTGTTACATCAAACATAATAATGTAAATAAAAATAAATCTAGTAAAAATATTATTTTTGTTAAATTTTCTTCAATGAACTGCAAACAGAAAATAATGAATTGTAAAAAATTTTTAAAAACTAAAAACTTCGGTGTTTCTGGTGAAGCTAATAGTGACTTTGTGGATAAAAAAGTATATGTTAACGATAGTCTAACTTTGTTTCACAAATCTTTATTGAAAAAAGCTCAAGAAATAAAAAAGGAAAGGAGTTACAAATTTTTGTGGATTCGGAATTCTACGATTTATATGAGAAAAATTGAAGGAAGTGATAGACTGGAAATTACGTGCTTTGAGGATTTAAATAGAATTTCCAACATTATTAGTTAAGTATTTATTTGTTGAATTGCATTTATTTCCATAAACTAATTTTTTTAATCTACTCAAAGCATAAAATACATTCTTTTGTTTATCATTTTTTAATAATTCTCCTTATTCACATATTGTAATTAATTTTTTTTTAAATATTGTTATATACTTTTTGTTAAATTTTATTTTTATTTTTTATTTATAATGAAGTCAAAGTTTTTGGTTTTGCATCAAAACATAAGAAGTTTAAGGGAAAACTATTTGTTACTTTTAGCATATCTTAATTCATTGGAAGTTCTTCCTGATTTATTATTTATAAGTGAAATTTGGATATTCGATTGGGAAGTGGATGATTTTTGTATTCCTGGTTACTCGTTTAATGCTGCATGTAATTCATTATATTCTGCTGGTGGTGTAGGTGTGTATTATAAGAATAAATATAATTGTAGTACGTTTAATTATAATTTGACAAGTGCTGATGTTATAAAAGTTTTGTGTACTATTGATAATATTGAGTATTGCTTCGTTGGAGTTTATAGATTACATAGATCTTCAATTTCAGAATTTAATACAGAAATTTTTAGTTTCTTATCAGATATCACTTGCAAAAATTTGTTGCTACTGGGGGATTTCAATATTAACATCTTGTCCCAGGGCAGAGAAATTGATGATTATCTTCTTTTATTGTCTTCTTTAGGGCTTGAATCTATAATTTCAGAAATTACCCGGCCAGTTTCTGGTTCTTGCATTGACCATATCTTTTTGAGACTATGTAATAATAATAAATTTTTGATTTTTGGTGAAGTTTTGGACCTATGTATAACTGACCATTCCATGTTAAGTCTAAAAATTGAATATTCTTCTGTGATTCGATCTAATAATTATACTTATGAGAATTCGTTTCAAAAAATTGATTTTAATAAATTGAGGACAGCTTTGTTGTTTGAATCCTGGTCTGATGTTTATATTGTGGATGATACTTCAGTTGCTTATTCGATCTTTTATGATATTCTTATGAAACACATTGCAAATTGTAGTACTAGTGTTATGATACGTAATAGGGACAAGAAATTGAAGCCGTGGATGACAAATGGTCTTATTAATTTTATTAAGAAAAGAAATAAATTATGTTTAAAAGTTAAAAAGAATCCAAATAATGTTCGTTTAGTTTCTCACTATAAAAAATTATGCAAAAACGTTAAGGTTAAAATTAAGAATACAAAAGATAATTACTACTTTAGTAAATTGAATGCAAATAGGGGTAATTCTAAAGTTGAATGGCAAATTATGAATTCTATTTTAAATAAAGATATGGTTTTAGATCCTAATATTGTGCTTGAAGATGAATCTGTTATTTTAAGTAATCCATCTGAAGTTTCCAACTGTTTTAGTAAACATTTTAATAGTGTTGGTAAAAATTTGTGTATAGATAGTAGTGAAATTCTTGATCGTAATTGGGTTTCGTCGGATATTATTCCTGAAACATATGGCCGTGAAAGTTTCTTTTTTGAACCCTTTACGGCATCAGAAATTCATAAATTAATAGTGGGTTTGAAAAGCTCGAACTCTAAGTCATCAGATTTACTATCTTCTAATGTTTTGAAAGAGATATCTTTTCTTATTGTTGATGTTTTATGCCATATTTTTAATTCAAGTGTTTATACTGGTAATTTCCCTAACGATCTTAAAACAGCCGTAGTTATTCCACTTTTTAAGAAAGGTAACACTTTAGACCCTGGTAATTACAGACCAATTTCAATTCTTTCCCCCCTTTCGAAAGTGTTTGAAAAGGCCATGAAGCATAGAATTCTTAATTTTTTAAATAAAACAAATTTTTTCTCAAATAATCAGTTCGGCTTCAGAAAAGGAAAATGTACCGAGGATGCTTTGCTGAAGTTTTGTACTGAGATTTGTGATGGTTTAAATGCTGGTAATACGTGTGCTGCAATTTTTATTGACATTGCTAAGGCATTTGACACAGTTCAGCATTCACTCTTACTTCATAAATTATTTAATGCAGGCTTCAGGGGTTTTGTTTTAAATTGGTTTGAATCTTTTATTTCGAATAGAAAACAGAAGGTAAGAGTTGGTAATTCATACAGTGGTGTAACTAATGTAAATATGGGTGTACCGCAGGGCTCGGTTCTTGGTCCAATATTGTTTCTTGTTTTTATCAATTCACTATTAATTCAACGTTTTAAGGGTCATCCGACTGCATTTGCAGATGATACTTCTTTCTCATACAGTTGTAAAAATCGTTTCAGTGTATTTAGCGATATGAACTATGATTTGGACCTAATTAGAAGGTGGTTTTACGCTCATGGGCTTGTTATAAGCTCAAAGACTAAATATATGCTTTTTAGTCTAACTGGCAATTTTCGTGATATGGGTGAGCTTTACTACCATTCACCTAATTGTAAAAAATTTCCAATGGTTCCAACTTCAATTGATAATTTGGTATGTTTTAATAATTTGTGTTCTTGTGATATGAATTGTTTTCCAATTGAATGTGTTTCTTCTTTCAAATATTTAGGTCTTAATTTTGATAGTAAATTGAATTGGTCTGAACATTGCTGCTATCTAAAGAAGTATTTAAATAAGGTTATAAGGTATGGCTTTCAGTTGAGCTCTTATTGTTCTTGTAAAGTAATGAAAATGTTCTACTATGGTGTTTTTGGTTCTAGGCTTCAATATGGTATTACATGCTGGGGTGGTGCTTATGCTAGCAGAATAAGATCTTTACTTTTGGCACAGAAACACTTTATTAGAATCGTTTTAAAGGTAAATCGTCTTACACCAAGTTTCCCCTTGTTTTGTGCACTTAAAATTTTTCCGCTTAGGCATCTATATTTTTATAAAACCTTGAGGATTTTTTTCAAAAGGTCTGGGTACCTAAATCAACGGACTGTTGCGGGGTATGGGCTTAGAATTAGTAATATGAACAATGTTATTGTGCCTAGGTCGCGTACAACGCATTACAGCCATTTTTATTCAATTATTGCGCCCAGGCTTTTTAATATTTTACCCGATTCGCTTAGATCTGAAAGGTGCTTATCGACGTTTTTGCGAGGTTTGAAAGATTGGTTGTTTGAATTTGACCACTTCCAAATCGAAAATTTACTTCAAGTCATTCGCTAAATTTTTATAGTTTTAACTTCTTTGCAACATAATTATTTTAATTTTTTGTTAATTATTTTAATTTTTGTTAAATATTTTAGCTTTCCCTTAATCTTATTATGTTTTGTTTTTGATTTTTCCTTTATATTTTACTTTCGTATTATTGTATGATATATTAGAAATTTAATTTTGATTTTTTTTGTTCAACCCCACATTAGTAAATTTAGTTTTTTTTTTAAGTATATCACAGTTAATTTTTATTTAAGTTTTTAATTGTATGATTTCATTCACACGTGCCTAATTTGGCACAAGAATGGAATTTTTCTTATTTCTTTTTACTTTTCATACTTGAATTGCATTACATTTTTTTTTTGTTATTACTGTTTTATTATCTAGTTTATTTTTTATGAGATTCAATACTAGTATGCAGTTGATGGATGCAATATAAACATTATATGGAATACCTTTGTAATATTAGTTTAAGTAATTGAAATAAATAAAATGAAATAAAAAAAAAAAAATGAAATAAAAAAAAAAAAAAATTGCAATTAAAGGAAAAAAATATGTAATTGAAATGTTGAGTTGCATTTTAAGTTTTTTAATTTTCCTAGATTTTCTTAAAGTATTTTCAAAAGTTATTGCAAGTAAACATTTAATGTCTATTAATACCTTGAAAGAAGGTCAATTAATGTCTTTAGAAATTATGTTATACTTATGCTTTTCGTTTTTTAAAATTAATAAGTTTCTTTAATTTTCTCTTTCAATAATTCAAATTTTGATTGTGACACATTTTTCTTAAAATTGCTATAGAAATTTTGATAGAATTCCCTAATTGTAAATAAATAGCTATCCCTTAAATTTCTATTAAAAACACCTTTCCTCACTTATATTTCTATTAACAAAAAATGAAATACCACAGCTATGCCACTACTTTTGTTCTTCATTGTTTTGTTTTTTCATTTGGAATTTTTTTTTCATGAATTCTCCGACAAAAGTATTTTTTTTCTCTATATTTCATGTCAGTTTAAACACAATTAGAGCACGTTTTTCAGTAAATTTTATTTGTATTTTATTATATTTTTGTTTTTTTTTTAGTAAGTAGCTAACTCATATTACTTGTAATAAATTGTACAGTAGCATATCACGTTCTGCAGATCGTTTTCTTAAATTTATTGATTATAAATATGCTTATAAGTATGTATTTTTATATGTACAGATATTTATTTTTAGTTTTGCAGTACTGTGATGTTATTTGAAACTTAAAAAAAAAAACAAAATTTATTTTTAATTTTAAATTCTTTTAATAATTTGTTACTAGAATAAATCTTATATTTATTTTCTAATTTATCCAAACTAAAAATTATAAATCGTTTTTGGATTCACTGCTATTCAGATTTTTATATGTAAATCATATGTAAATTAAATTTATTGTAAATATATTGCTAGTAAGTATGATTGATATTCATTTAGTTGAATGTATGGTTTTTAGTAGCATTTATAGTCACCCACATTTTGGTAGTCGTATCGTGTGCAAATATTGCATGATACTGTCACGTTTTGGTAGTCTTGGACCACGATGGTTAAAGTGATGCCAATTTCATATGAAGTGATTGTCAATTTTCCATCACCTTGATATTTGCATTCGTTTAATTATATTTAAATTTAGAAAATAATATTGTATGCGTATAAAAACTGCGAAAAATTTTGTATTTATTAATTGATTAACGATCAATTTGGCAATATAGAAGGCTTGTTCTGTTCTAAAGATCCAGTGATCAGCATTTTAGGTTTATCTATGTTAATAGATGAAACTAGATAGTAGTTCATGTTATCGACAATATACTGTTGGTAATGCATTACTTTTATTTTGGAAAAAAAATTATCCTTATAAAATGAAATTTAAAAAAAAAATTATATTCAATTTCCTTATTTTCCAAAGGACGTTCAAATACAAGAAATATAAACAATAATATTTTATTTCCTTTCTTATTTTTTGTTCAAAACGAATTGATGATCTTTTGTGGAATTAAATCCACCTTTCTTTTTTATAAAAAAAAAATTTAGTTACCTTTATCAAAAGGAAGGTAAAAGAATTTCATTTGTACAGTTTTCAAATTGGCTTCTTTCTTTTTGTAATGTATTGTTTATTAAAACAATATATTTGAAGTTTGCACCTAGCACCTAAAAATTGAAATTTTTGTCGCCTTCTGATAAAATGCTTAACAAAATGAATGTGGACAGAATAAATATTTGAGTCAAATAGGAAAATCAAAAAGTAATAGAAAAAAATAATAAAAACTATCACCTTGCATCTGGAATCTTTTCTTATAATTCTTTTTAATTTAAATTTTCAATTTCAGGCAACAAACATAATATTATTATTCTTGTATAGCGTGATGAAAGTTTTACTTTCGTCATGCACTCAAGATTGCATATTAATTTCAAGTAAAAACTTATACACACATCAATATATCAAAAATTCTATTCAAGTATATTTTTGTGTTCCGTATGAGAATTGCATTTTAAAAATAAAAAAAAAAATTCAATTTTAATGTAAAGTTAATTGTTAAGAGTAATTTCTAAATTATTAAGAATTTTTCGAAACCAAGTCAAAAAAAAATATTGTGTGGGTAGATATTTATATCGATTAACTGGTTTTATAAATTTTGGCACGTGATGTTAGAATTATTTAAAATTTTAGAAGTCTTAAGCTGAGATATTAAATTTCAATATAATTTGTTGAATATTTTTGAAATTTGGCCCAAAATGTAAAATTAAGTTCTTTAGTTATTGTTAAAATAGAAGAAAAGCAGTAAACGGCAACGGCGCACCATTTCTGTTGTTAACCTAGAACAACAGCGGAACAGAAAAATCAACTACTCACTATTTTGCATATAATGTCGCACACATGAAAACCCATGATGTCAACAAAACCCCACTGCGTTAAACTAGGAATTTACGTTATTTTACCGCCGGATCGAAGAAAATTGCTTTTGTTCTTATTTTCGCTCTTATAAATTTTGATTGATATCAGTTAGTTGAAATACATGAGTGCATAGACAAATCGGTAGACCAAAATCTTGTGTGTTTACTTACGTAATTAAGGCATAATTCAGTGATAATTAGAATAAAATTTCTTGTGCTCAAAGACTTTTCCAAATTAAAAGTCAATTAGACCGGTGATAATATTTTTTTTTTAAGAAATTGCAAGATCGTATTGTGAAAGGTAGCATTTAGAATATAAAAAACATAAATAAATATTTTTAATGGACATTTTTACTTATAAAATACAAAAACAATTTTTATTATTATCAAGATTTAAAGTTATTTCCAGGTGTTAGAAATCATCTTTTTTCCTTATTTTTTTGTTTATTTCATTTATTTAGATTATAATATAAATAGTTGTTTAATGCAAATATTTTTTTAGGTAAAATAAAATAATTTTATGTTTTTTATGGAAAATCATAAAATCTGCAGTATTTGGAGAACATTAGAGACAATATTGTTATAGGTAACTGGTATATTCAATGAATAGTCAACAATTGTTCAAACATCATGCGAATTAGAATGCATTTCAGAAAGTCTAGGTATATTGGAATAAGTCCAAATAGCAGGTATTAAAATTGTCATTAATGAATCATTACTATCACTTTATTATAAAATCACTTTATTAATTAAATTTATAATTTTCGAATTATATTATTAGGTTATTTAAGCAATTATACCTGCTGTATCTAATTTTCAAAGAACTGACGGGTATAGAAATTCTAATGAATTACAAAAAATACATTAATATTTCTAAGAATTTCATATATGGTCGATTAAGTAAGTCACATACTTATATAATTAGTTTGAATACACTACTTGGTTGAATGGGTAAAATTCTATTTTAGTTGATTTGATAAATTTCGAGAATTGCATGAAAAATAAAAATTTTTTATTGAGAATTTTAAAAATTTTATACTTATGCTTTGATAATAATAAAAAAAAAAATTCATTGAGGTATAAAATATTTTTAAAAATTTACTTAACCGCATTTTTTTAAAAGTTAATAATTATTTTTCCTTATTTTTATATTTGTATTGGGGTGATTGAATAGCATTTGTATTTAATTTACACCTACATTTGGTTTTTATTTTGCAGGCAATTTTTTTTCTTTCATTTTGGGCTACAAAAATCTTTGATACTTGTGTAGAAGTTTGCTTTAACATGGCCTTAAGGCATTAAACAATTTTGCTTTTAGTAGTTTTTAAATTGAAATTTTTTATTTAGTAAATTAAATCTCCTGTTGTGCTTCTGTTCTGTTATATGCTGTACATTTTAAAAGGCATAACAGTTTTAAAGTGTAATTTTTTCATTTTTTTTTTTAAGTTTTTCTTTTGGTAAATTAATTTGGTATTTTAATTGGCTGTTTTTTAGATATATTAAATTCAAATTATA